TGGCTCCTCCAGTCTGCATGTCAGGTATCCTTGGGCAAGACACTAACCCAAGTTGCTCTTCGATGCATCCATTGGAGTGTGAAGTTAGAAAGCACTATGTATGGAGAAAGTGCTTGCGAGAATGGGTGTGATTGGGTGAATGTTGTATGGAGAGTAGAAAAGCGCTCTATAAGAATCAGAGTTTATAACTGCTCACAGACTGGCTGTCAGGAAGCTGTTCGAACGTAAGGAAAACAGACACAACTCAGAGCTATGCACAAGACGTAGACTGAAAATTTATTTTTTTAGCACTGTTCATAGATTAAAATCACAAAGTGTTTCACAATAAAACCAAAAATATTAATAAAATATTGACATGAAACAATGCAAACATTAATCAAAGCTTGTCTGTATAGAAACGGTGCCTGAGAGACCAACAGTAGCCTCGGACATGAAGACCTGAGTGCTCGGGAGGAAGCAGGAGGTTTCAGGGATGAACTGACCAGAGCTTCACCATGTAGAGCTCAAAAAGTTCAAACTGAAATTTTAAAATGAAACCTAAAATTTACTGGCAACCAATGAGGAGAAGCCAAAACTGGAGTAATATGTGGCCTCCTATTGGTGCTGCAGTGCAGTCTGAAGGCGCCAACGCTGATTTGTAAAAACACTGGAGCAATCCAAACAAGAAGAAATAACAGCAGGAAGAATCAGGCTCAGCCTTTGACACCAGCAGGCTGACCTTAGAAATGTTTCTCATGTGATAAAAACACTTCTGAACCAGTTGTTTGACATTGAACTGTCGCTATGACGCCCACATTTCTGAGACTCGATTGAACGGACGAGTCTAAACACTGATGCGCTGCTCGATAACTCCAAACGATCATCATCATGTATGGAGGTGATTATGACAGTGAGTATCTTCAACCATCTTTAGAAATGGTAGAGGGATGGTTTGGGCTGCGTGTCAGGCGGTGCTGTTGGGAATCTTGTCAAAACTGACGAAGTGTGAAGGGAAAAAGATGCCGTCTAAAAGCACGCAGTGGAAACTAGAAGAAATGACCAGAAAGCTTGATTAGTTCAGGCTGCACTGAAGAATAAAAGTGGTGATATCAGCTGCTGACTTTCAAGCTTGTTAGAACTGTACAGACTCAGCTTTTATACTGTCTGTCTCTGTGTCAGAGATAAATCACTGCACCTATTTCCATGTTTCCTGTCAAAACATAAAGAAGACTTTTGCTCTGTACGCTGCTTTATTTGAAATGGAAGAACAAAACAAAACTGCTTCCAGTGGAAGGATGGCTTTGACACTGGGAAAATATTGATGGTCTGTATCTGGCTGCCTGTCCATGTCGAGCAGAAGCAGCTCTGCATCATCCAATCAAGGCTCCTGACGTCTTTCTGCATTAGGAAACCTAATCACAGTTTATAGACAAGTCATTTTAGTGACAGTCACAGTTGTTTCACAGCAAACAGCAAAGCAGTTTCTACAGTGAAGCCGTGTTTAGGGAAGGTCTCGTCCTTCACACCTCCACATGTTTATTTTCAGTACCAAATAAATGCAGTAGGACAGTCATTCATCACTGAAGTCAATCAAAAGCCAACAGATAGTTGGCCTGCTCATGGAAACCTTACTTTCTATATTACGTTTCATGCTGTACTGTGGAGATGGTATGCAGATGACACAGTCACTGTAAGCCTCCTTCATGGTGAAGAGGATTCCCATGGGGCTGTTGTGGATGAGTTTGTTTCGTGGTGTGATCAGTCCTTCTTAATGATCAACACCTTGAAAACCAAGGACATGGTTATTGACTTCAGGAAGTTATCCCCCCATCCTGCACTAACAGTGGTAAATGTGCAGCCATTGAACTGGTGGACAGTTATAATTGGGGGTTGTTCTTGACTCTGTCCTTTGAGTCACATGTTGCTGCTACAGTGAAAAAGGTTCAACAAAGACTTTTTAAGGAGGTTGAGAGGTTTCAATGTTTCATCTGAAATGATGACTCTTTTTTATAAACGTTTTATTGAATCTGTTTTAACTTTCTGTATCATTGCTTGGTATGGTAATATGTCCCTGAATAATAAGACCAGACTTAACAACCTGGTTAAAGTGGCTGGTCAGATTTCAGGGAGGTCTCAGGTCCAGCTTGTGGACTTTTATAACAGGCAGGTGCTGAGGAAGGCGATCTCTGTCCTGTTGTGTTCAGATCATCCTCTCTTTAATGATTTTCAACTGCTTCCATCAGGTCGTTGTTATAAAGTGGCTGCAGTGAAGACAAAGAGACATAGATTGTCTTTTGTACCTGCTGCTATTATCATAGTTAATAACACTAAACACTAAACCATGTTGTTGCCATTGCACTTTTTTGATGAAAAATCTAGGTTGTTTTCTCAGGCTTATATTATATTATATTATTTTGGTGAGTGTATGTGATGTGTTGGTTGTCTGTTTGTTTGTTTGTACGGACATACTGCAAATCAATTTCCCGTTAGGGACAATAAAGTTACCATTGACCATTGATCTGACTGTGGACCTATGTCACACATGCAGCCCTTGGACAGTGTCCAGGTACGTTTAAAAAGAGAGTAACAGGAAGACGAAACCAAAGAAAGTAAATATAACAACCCACAAACAGTGTTTAGGTTGTTAAATCTTTACAGAACTATTTTTAACTGAAGAAGTACCCCCTCCCCACAAATTACAAACCCCGCATACATTTATTCCACTATCGCTGGAAATCCAGTCAGCATGTGGAACCTGTTTGTTTCCTATCAGACTAAACGTGTCTGTGTTTGTGACACAGCGGAGACTCCAGCAGCTTCCTTATGATAAATATGGATTTCTGTGTCCAACTACAGAGACACGCTTCACTGATGATGATGATGACGTATACAGACGACGTTGTGTGCAGACAAATGATCACAGCGCCCCCTCATGGTCATCTATAGTATGGTTTTATATCTTTACAAATATTTTATATTTTTATTAAGATTTGTATGTTGTGTTGTTTTTTGAAACTATGGACGTGAAGTCTGTCAATAAAGATCGATTGATTGATCGATTGATTGATCGATTGATTGATTGATTGCTGACAGCAGCATCTTCAAACATCACCACATAGAAGTCGTTCATGCAGTTTGTAGAAAACAGGCCGCTGTGTTCAGGTCACGTGTTTACCTGTACGTAGAGTCGCCATTGTTGTTGTTGTTTATTTGTTTGTTGCACACTGCTGCACTCTGCCCGTCATCAGTGTGTTTTAAATGTCACACGGTGATATGTGATTGTGTATAAGAGGTTCGTGTGTGTTACATTCACGCACACACACATCAGAGGAGCGAACTCTGTTTCGCTTGGTTCGGACAGCGACGCCCACGGAAATGACAGCAGCGTGACCAGTTCCGTTGTTGTCGCTTACGTGGAGACAGGAAGTGTCTTCCCTTGGTTTCCGGGTTGGAGTCTCGGTTGTTGTGTGTCTACGATGGCCCAGGACTCCGCGCTTTCTCTCCGGGTGTCGGAGATCAGCGACCCGGCGCTTCTCTTTGAGCGCTACAACACCGAGGAGATCCGCGGGATCGAGCGCAAAGTGCGCGGGGAGATCGAGCAGAAGCGGG